CCACTCCCCTATGCGGCAATCGCGGGTGAGTGTTGGCGTTGTTCAGCTGGTTTTCTATGTGTTTTTTTCCCAAGCCTGGTTTTCCGCGCGAGTTTGCCTATGGTAGGTCGGTTTTCGTGGCGTCGTGGGTTTGCCTGGTGGCCCTCTCGTTCGTAGCGCGGCCGTGTGCTTTGTGGTCTCTTGTCGTTTGGCTCGTCGCACGAACGCGAACATCGAAACATGTGGATGTCGTGCGAAGATAGACAGTTTATAAGGGTGCGTCAGGATGGAAATCCTTGGAGGTTAAATCATAATCGGCCCCGGTATTTCCCCAGTCGACAATTGGCCGGATCTGGTTCAATCCCGTTTCATCCAGCTTAATCCCGTTTATCTGGCTTAACCCAACTCAATGCTGGGTCTGATTTGGGCTAGTTCGGTTTACTGGCGCCCTCATCGGGCTGTATCGGCCGTAATTTTACGAAGGCCTCCCAGGAGGTGCCTCCCTAAGGAGCCGCCGACACATTCCTCACCATCCTCTTGCGCCAGATGGGGCAATTTAGGCGCTCTGTGATTGCTCGCTCCTGACGAAAGTTGTGGCGGATATGTTCCCTGTTCCTCACCACCCACCAAACCACCCCAACCCAACTCGAAGGCTCAGATTTACCCTCGATTTCTAGTGGGGGGGGGGTCGGGAAACATCGAAAAAACACGCGTGGAACCCTTACCCCCCCAACCCGAAATTCGGGTCTTCGGGTTGGGGTGGTCTGGTAGGTAGTCACGTTCCTCCGTTGCCCTGTGGCTGTGGTCGTCGCTGTCATCGGGCGTGTTGTCGTGCGTTGACGCGCGCCGCGCGGTCTCGGCTGCTGTCCCATGCGACGTGCGATCCGCTTTTCACGTTTCCATCTGCGCTGGGTCAAGGATATGTCGACCGTCCTCCTTGCAGCTCTCACCAATTGCCACCAGCATGGCTGGTCTTGGAGCCGTCTGGGGGTCTGAGCTGGCCCAGCACTGGCTCTGGCCAGTGGGAACGGCGGGCGGGTTCGAGGCTCCAGCTGTTTTTTACCTAACATCGAAGACTGATAGGTTTCTAGTGGTCTCAAAAGAGAGCAGCACATTACTTCAACATTACTTCAACATTACTCCACAGGGGGGTCTGGGCAGCCGTTGGGGGCAGTTGGGTGGCAGTTGGGGGGCCGTTGGGGTTTGCCGGGGGGGATCGTTTTTCGCATACAGTCACACACTTCGTGCTTTTCGATTTCCCAGAACTCCATTCCCGGGCCACATTTTGGAAGCCCGGAGCTAACTGTAGGCCACTTCGTGCTCTTCGATTTCCCAGGACTCCATTCCCGGGCCACATTTTGGATGCCCGGAGCCAACTGTAGGCCACTTCGTGCTCTTCTATTTCCCAGAACTCCATTCCCGGGCCACATTTTGGATGCCCGGAGCCAACTGTAGGCCACTTCGTGCTCTTCGACTTCCCAGAACTCCATTCCCGGGCCACATTTTGGATGCCCGGAGCCAACTGTAGGCCACTTCGTGCTCTTCGAGTTCCCAGAACTCCATTCCCGGGCCACATTTTGAATGCCCCGAGCCAACTGTAGGCCACTTCGTGATCTTCGAGTTCCCAGAATTCAATTCCTGGGCATGATTTTGAATGCCCGGAGCCAACTGTAGGCCACTTCGTGTTCTTCGAGTTCCCAGAACTCCATTCCCGGGCCACATTTTGAATGCTGAGGCAGGCTGATGCTGAGGCTGAGGCAGGCTGAGGATGAGGCAGGCTGAGGATGAGGCCGAGGCTGAAGGCAGACTGAGGCTGAGGCTGAAGCAAGCTGAGGCTGAGGCTGAGGCAGGCTGAGGCTGAGGCTGAGGCAGGCTGATGCTGAGGCAGGCTGAGGCTGAGGCTGAGGCTGATGCAGGCTGAGGCTAGGCAGGCTGAGGCTGAGGCCGAGGCTGAAGGCAGACTGAGGCTGAGGCTGAAGCAGGCTGAGGCTGAGGCTGAGGCAGGCTGAGGCTGAGGCTGAGGCAGGATGATGCTGAGGCAGGCTGAGGCTGAGGCTGAGGCTGATGCAGGCTGAGGCTGAGGCAGGCTGAGGCTGAGGCCGAGGCTGAAGGCAGACTGAGGCTGAGGCTGAAGCAGGCTGAGGCTGAGGCTGAGGCAGGCTGAGGCTGAGGCTGAGGCAGGCTGATGCTGAGGAAGGCTGAGGCTGAGGCTGAGGCTGATGCAGGCTGAGGCTGAGGCAGGCTGAGACTGAAGCCGAGGCTGAAGGAAGATTGAGGCTGAGGCTGAAGCAGGCCGAGGCTGAGGCTGAGGCTGAGGCAGGCTGAGGCTGAGGCTGAGGCAGGCTGATGCTGAGGCAGGCTGAGGCTGAGGCTGAGGTGATGCAGGCTGAGGCTGAGGCAGGCTGAGGCTGAGGCCGAGGCTGAAGGCAGGCTGAGGCTGAGGCTGAGGCAGGCTGAGGCTGAGGCTGAGGCAGGCTGATGCTGAGGCAGGCTGAGGCTGAGGCTGAGGCTGATGCAGGCTGAGGCTGAGGCAGGCTGAGGCTGAGGCCGAGGCTGAAGGCAGACTGAGGCTGAGGCTGAAGCAGGCGGAGGCTGAGGCTGAGGCAGGCTGAGGCTGAGGCAGGCTGAGGCTGAGGCTGAGGCAGGCTGAGGCTGAGGCTGAGGCTGATGCAGGCTGAGGCTGCGGCAGGCTGAGGCTGAGGCGGAGGCTGAAGGCAGACTGAGGCTGAGGCTGAAGCAGGCTGAGGCTGAGGCTGAGGCAGGCTGAGGCTGAGGCTGAGGCAGGCTGAGGCTGAGGCAGGCTGAGGCTGAGGCAGGCTGAGGCAGGCTGACGCTGAGGCTGAGGCTGAGGCTGAGGCTGAGGATGAGGCAGGCTGAGGCAGACGCTGAGGCAGGGTGAGGCTGAGGCTGAGGCAGGCTGTGGCTGAGGCTGAAGCTGAGGCAGGCTGAGGCTGAGGCTGATGCAGGCTGAGGCTGAGGCTGAGGCAGGCTGAGGCTGAGGCTGAGGCTGAGGCTGAGGCTGAGGCTGAGGCTGAGGCTGAGGCAGGCTGATGCTGAGGCAGGATGAGGCTGAGGCTGAGGCTGATGCAGGCTGAGGCTGAGGCAGGCTGAGGCTGAGGCCGAGGCTGAAGGCAGACTGAGGCTGAGGCTGAAGCAGGCTGAGGCTGAGGCTGAGGCATGCTGAGGCTGAGGCAGGCTGAGGCTGAGGCTGAGGCAGGCTGAGGCTGAGGCTGTGACTGCAACTGCCGTTGCCACTGCGACTGTCATCGCGAATGCGACTACGACTGCGAGAACAGCAGAATTCTACAACTGGATTCTCATCCGAATCTTAAGGGGAATGCTTCCAGATATGCTCCTACACATCGATGTTAGGTTGCTTTGCCGGGATAATTTTCGGTCTCTGGGGGCCTTCTTCGGGAGCTGGGACCGTCGTGAAAAGTTGTTCCAGGGTGAAAAACTGCACTAGGTGGACTCTGGTGGGGTCAGGGGACCGATTTTGAACGGATTTGGCTTCATCCCTCCTCCTGATTGTTTTTCTGGGGCCCCAGCGAGTTCAGCCCCCCCTGCAGCCTCGATGTCAACCGTCCTCCTTGCAGCATTCACCAAAAGCAACCATCATGGTTAGTCACCGCTGCCAGGCTATCGCTACTAGAACCTTCGACCCACTCCTTGGCACTCAGTGTCGATCAAACCTCACGTGTTCGGCAGTGTCACCTATGCCACTGTGGAGGACCGTGGAACCAGTATCAGCATTGGCGTCTTCGTTTCGGAATGCACACTGTCGGCACAATCACTCGACGAGCAAGCAGCGGTACGAGCACATTTTCTCGGAGGCCCGCGCGCATTTATTGGGTCGGCGTTCGGCCACCCCCTGGCGGCGCCTCGTGCGCCGATTCCAGAAGTCTGCGCGGACCTCCGACAACTCATTCGAATATCTGATGGCCTTCGGCCCATCCCGCCACCGTGCTTGGGTTGTGGGTGTGAAGCCTATTCGATGTTCGCTTGATCTCGTGGGAGGCTTCTCGAGGGCCTCTTGGAGGCAGTTTGGAGGCCTCTTGGGGCTGTTAGGTGGCCTCTCGGGGTCTCTTTAGAGTCTCTTGGGGCCCCTTGGGAATTCCTTGGGGGCCTCTTGGGGCCTCCTGGGCGCCTTTTCGGGCCTGCTGGGGGCCTTATGGGGCGGAAGACTCGGATCTCCGATTCGTGCTCCGTCTCTTCGGCCCCTTTTGGGGCCGTCATGGGGCCTTCCTGGGCCTCGGGCGCCTCTTGGGCCGTCTCGGGGCGCTCTTAGGCCGTCTCGGGGCCCTTCCTGTAGGTGCACTGACCTGGGTCAGTGCACAGTTGACCCGGGTCACCCGAGGGAGTCCAGGAGGGCTGGCCACCCGTTGCAGGCCTCACCTCCCAGCGTGCCGTGCGTCCGCCCCCGAGGACCGTGAGGCGGGTGCGCCGCAGCACGAGCCTGCGTGCTCAGGACGCCGCCGCGCGGGGGAGCGTAAAGGAAGAGGCTGATGATGATGATGATGATGATGATGATGATGATGATGATGATGATGATGATGATGATGATGATGATGAGGAGATGGAGGAGGAGGAGGAGGAAGATGAGGAGGAGGAGGAGAAGGAGGAGGAGTAGGAGGAGACGGAGACGGAGACGGAGGAGGAGGAGGAGGAGGAGGAGGTGGAGGAGGAGGAGGAAGAGGAGGAGGAGGAGGAAGATGATGATGATGATGATGATGATGATGATGATGATGATGATGATACTGATGATGCTGATGATGATGCTGATGATGCTGATGACGATGATGATTACGACGACGATGACGATGACGATGATGATGATGATGATGATGATGATGATGATGATGATGATGATGATGATGAGGATGAGGATGATGAGGATGATGATGATGGTGATGATGATG